ATTATTATTATTAAGGTATCACTGATATACAATCTTATGAAGGTTTCACATGAGCAACATTGTGGTTACTACATTCATCCATATTACCAAGACCCCACCACATACCCCATTACAGTCACTGTCCATCAGTGTAGTGAGATGCTATAGAGTCACTACTTGTCTTCTCTGTGCTGTACTGCCTTCCCCGTGCCCCCTTCCTACATTATGTGTCCTAGTCATAATATCCCTTAATTCCCTTCTCCCTCCCTTCCCACCCCCCTCCCTACCCCCTTTCCCTTTGGTAACCACTAGTCCTTCTTGGGTTCTGTGAGTCTGCTGTTGTTTTGTTTCTTGTTTTTGCTTTGTTGTTATACTCCACAAACGAGTTAAATCATTTGGTACTTGTCTTTCTCCACTTGGCTTATTTCACTGAGCATAATACGCTCTAGCTCCATTCTTGTTGTTGCAAATGGCAGGATTTGTTTTCTTCTGGTGGCTGAATAATATTCCATTGTGTATATGTACCACATCTTCTTTATCCATTCATCTACTGATGGACACTTAGCTTGCTTCTATATCTTGGCTATTGTAAATAGTGCTGTTATAAACATAGGGGTGCATATGTCTTTTTGGGCTCCTGCATTCTTGGAATAAATTCCTAGGAGTGGAATTTCTGGGTCAAATGTTATTTCTCTTTTTAGTTTTTTGAGGAACCTTCATACTGCTTTCCACAATGGTTGAACTAATTTACATTCCCACCAGCAGTGTAGGAGGGTTCCCCTTCAATCACTTTTTAGAATTTACATTTCCAGGCTGAAGAATTCTCTTTTTTTCCCCCACATACATCAGGCTCCTACTTGTTGACAGAAGATCTGTGAAGCTTTTTCTAGCATCCTTTATTTTCTCTGCTGTGGTCCAAGGAAGGACAAGCCATGGGCACAGGGGTTTTTGAAAGCGTATGGATTTCCTTTAATGAATAACAAGAGTTTTTGACCATTTAGGCAATTACGTCTTCAGAGTGTGGTAAGTTCTTCTTAGAACAGAATGTGAACAAAACATTTTTCTATGCTGACCAACACCTGTACATATCTCCCAAGCTGTCTGGAAGTAGAGCATTCCTATAAAGCCTTTCCTCAGCTGCAATGGTTGTGAAGAAACAACCATTTAAAGTGAACCAACCAGGTAAAGTGAAGAAACAGTTACCATTTCCTGCAAGTGAAAATCCTCTTTATATGTCTTTCTAACAGTGAAAACGGGTACAGTTGACCCTTGAACAACACAGGCTTGAACTGTGCTGGTCCACTTACACACAGATTTTTTTCAATATACGTATGTGTGGGAATTTTTTTGAGGTTTGTGACAATTTGAAAAAAAGACTTCAGAAAAAGGTCTTTTCTCTACATCTTTATTCTAAGAATACGGCATATTACACATAAAACCTACAAAGCACTTGCTAATTAACTATGTTATTAATTATGTTAATTAACTATGTAGGTGCCTCAGGAAGCCTACTTGGGATAGTACCCTGGCCCTGTTTGCCCAAGGCCCCGTTTGGCTTTCAGTCTGTCAGTATTTGCTTCTTTTAAAACTACTGATGTCAGAGTTTAAATTAGTTTTAGAGGTCTGTGAAGGCTTCCAGTCAACAGTAGGATCCTAGTAGTTAAGTTTTTGGAGAGTCAGGAGTTCTACAGGGATTTTTCGACTGTGCAGCGGTAAGGGCTTTTAATTCTTCCATTGGTCAAGGGTCAATTTAGGTTTTTCCCGAAAGCGAAGTGGCCTCAAGTAGGATAGAGGATGGATGGAAGGTGGTGGTGGTGGGGAACCTGTACTTCCTTTCCGTATAGAGTGTCGCGACCCTTCAGGGACCAAAGCAACACGCCCAAGGTCTTGATTCTTCTCTAGGCTTTATTGTCTAATCTCTCGCGGCGGTTACAGCAGTTGTCGGGAAGCTCTTCTCCCTCCCGGGGGGCTCCCTTATATTCAGTCACCCAACCAATCCGGGACAGTATCATGCGTGACCTTTAAGTGGATAGGTGTCACACGCCACTCTAAGCGGGCAGCACGAGCTGTGCATGGGTACGGAAGTCTGCTGGGCCAATCCCCAACAGGGAAGAGGGGAAGGGTGGTGAGCAGGAAGCAGGCGCCATCTTTAGGGCGTTGTCCAGCTAGAGTGGCTTAGCCTCGGCCGTAGGCCGGGTCCCCACATCTCCCCCTTTATTGTTTTATAACCGAAGGT